TAAGCCGCCATTGCTTTCCATTCTTATACATCAGATCTTCATTTTGAACACTGGATCTGAACACTTGTATGCCTTCATATCTGCCATTAGTTTTCATTAATTCACAAAATTCTGTCTCAATTTGGCAGTGAATGGCATTTAAAGACACAATTAATACAAGAATTTCAATCATTTTCAAAGTGAAGAACTGATGGCAGAGATTGTAAAAACAGTTGGAAAATAAACTATAATTATGAATTCAATTATAACAATGAATATAAAACGAGATTGAATTGAATTTGGTGTAAACAAAATAGTTTCATCATGTTCATTTATTATTCATTGTATTCACGAGATGTTAACAAATAAACAGAATATTGGTTTTCAAATATGTCAACACTTTTGAATGCAATCTTATAAACAGTTCTGCATTTACTGTAAATTATGAATATTTTAAGACAATTCAATCCACTCTTTGGCAAAAGGTTGCAATTTTTGCCGCAAAACTTTTTTAAAAATCAATTCATTAAATAAATAATTATAATTACATGAATACAAAAGCAGGGCTTCATTGGCGATAACGGGGCCACTCATTGGATGGGGCTTTTGGTATAACAGTCGCCATAATAGCAATTGTTGGCCAAACACTCAACTATCTCTACGCAAAGCCAGTCTTGACGTCCAGCCGTTCACCGCTGATTGGTTCAAACCATTCGTGTTTCTCAGGCCTCACTATACAAAAGCAGAACCCGTGACCAAAAGCGAGGACTGGAGTGTTGTGTTGGGCTCCGGGTTTATAGTGGACTCGGAGGGCGTTGTCGTCACTTCAAACTTGGTTTACCAGGACTTTGACTACTTGTGGATAATAATGTCTGACGGAACGCAAGTGAAGGGCAAAGTGGAGGCAGTTTTGCCCGAATTCGGACTCGTCTACATTCAGATACCATTAGACAAGAAACCCGGCGGTAAGGGTTGGCCAACCGTCCAGTGGAACAATGGGCCGAACCCCGGAGTGGGCACTCGGGTCTATCACGTGGGAAATCCCCGGTTTAACGTATTTAATACAGTGGTTAAGGGATTGATAAGCGGTCAGACGGTTAAGGGCGAGAGGATTACTGTGATGTGCGCTCCAAATGCCGATTACATAACATTCTCGGCGGCCGTCACGAGCAGCGACTTTGGCAGCGCTTTGGTTGACAGCAAAGGCAATGTAATCGGAATGACGGCTCACACCGACAGTAGGAAATGCTTTTGCCTGCCGTCCAGTCTTATCAAACGTATGTTTAATTGGTTTTGAATGCTTTCCATGAGTTTTGCCATTTGTTTCATATGGTCTGTGATTTTTATTGCAGAAAAATTGAATGAAAAGAAACCAGAATTTAATAAACCAAAACCGGCGGAAAAGATGAATGCATTTGGTTTGATCACCGTTTGGTTGGACGACAACACCCGACAGGATTTGACCAGATTTGGCCAAAAACACAACCAAACACTGCCTAATGTGAACGGGATGTGTGTTTTGGGCACTCATATTGAATTTGATTGGAAAACGTGAGACTCCTTTATATAATGCATGAATGTCTTGAATTAATTGTACCGTTTGAACAGCAATATTGAACAGTTTGATGTAATCACACACATTGACAATCAGGCGGTGAACTCGGAGTTTGAATTTTATAAATTTCTCGATATCAAGCCTCAGGTTCGGGTGACTGTCCGAAAGCATGGAACCGATGGTCAACCGCCACCACAACAACCACTTGTTGTCGATATTAAGTCATCGAAAAAAGAGTGGACTATTGTTTAGTTTAATTATTTATTTATTGTATGTTTTATTAAATTCTCAATTAAATAGTTGTTTTTTAAATACCAGATTTACTGATAGTAATGCATTGTCATTGAAAGCATTGAATATTATTATTTTTTAAAACTATTAGTGTACATTTTTATTAAAAGTTTTTTTTGTTTAATTTTAAAAATAATTAATTATTTGTAAATATATTATAACCTTTTAATTTATTTCTCGTTATAAGTTATAATATTTTGAAGATATTAAATCTGTATGAATTGTTGTGTTGTTATTTTATGTCTTATTTTAAATTGAAATTTTCAATACTTTAAATTATTTTAAGTATTACGTTACTATTTGTGGAATAACTTTTAAAAGTGCATAATTTTGATTACTTACAAATCAATTCATATTTGTAACTTTACTTTAATAAAATATATGTTAACGACATTACAATTATAGTGAGTCATTATAGTTATCAAACTTATTGTCAATAACTTACTGATTATCGTTAGACAACATGTTGTTTGTCCAATAAATCTGGTTTTATTTATCATTAATTATCAATGGTTATTATTACCACTATTTCACAGACTATTACAATACTTGTAAGAAATATAAGATAAATTAGAAGACATTGTTATTTAATAATAATATATTGAAATTATTTATTAATTCAATTTATAAAACATTTTAATAACTAATCCAAAACATACAAAATATGATAAAATTATTGTAATTTATAAACTGGAAGACTACAAAAATGATTATTAATGATTATTTTACAATGTATTCTCCACTCACTATAGTTTTACAAATGTTATTAAATATCTGTAATTAATATTATGGTATAAATTCACAAATATTATTTAGTTATGTTATCCCTTAAGTATGAAAAAGTTTATGACACCAAATCATTTGTTTCAAATCAAATTAAAACATTTATTATACTTACATTATTATGTATATCTAATGTAAAGTAAGTAAATTTTATATCTATCTATTATATTAAATTTCTGCAATCGTATAAAACAAACAGAATTTTTATGATACCATGTAATCAATTGTGAAACAAAGTCTAAACACTTATTATAACAGTATATGAATACCTGTCTTCAAAGAAAGCATATTTCAAACAATCAAATAACAAACAAATTAACAACAAATACATATTGAATGCCAACAAAATTTATTACAATAAATAGATTTAATTTTCAATGTGTCAAAAATTGGAAAAAAAATCAAATCAAAATCCTATGACTTTCAACACTATTAATAAAAGTTAATGGAAATTTAAAATAAAGTTTCAAATATTTTAATTTGAAATGCTTTATGAAATAACTAATATATAACATTAATATATTTAATAATGTGTTTAAGTTTTGTGTCACAAATCCATTGATTTCGTCACAAATGTATTGATGTCTTGAATCGGAGGACGAGAAGAGGTGCTGAGGAAGCGCCTGAAGACGTAAAGACATGAATAAATTTAATAATAAACTTAAATATATTTTAATATTTGTTATAATAATCGTATTTTTATTATACAAATGTTCACTTAATTCAACCGATTATCACATCTCGACGTTACCGGCAATGACTGACCGGTTCAGAGGCGGACACATGAAGGCCACACAATTGGACACAAACGATGGCAATGCACTCAACAACCAGTCGGGTGTCAGACAATACCGGATCCTATTGTGGACCAAATACTTCCAATCGGACGAGTGGTTACATATGGACCTCAAGTCAATCGGCTGTGAATTCCATAATTGTCTTTTCACTGAAGAACGATCTCTTGTGGTGTCGGCCGACGCCGTACTCTTCCACTGGTCGGACACTAGTCCATGGGATTTGCCCGCAAAGAGTCCGTTGGCTGCGGCCAGAGGTCAGAAGTGGGTGCTCCACAATTGGGAACCGCCACTAAACTCGCCAGCCTATCGGGTGCGCCCTTTGGCTAAACATATCGATTGGGTTATGAGTTATAGACGCGATTCAGACATTTACGTGCCGTACGGGTCGGTCACCAAATGTGATACAAAGTGGCAAAACGAGGATCTCTTTGACAACAAGAGCGGTTCCGTGGCGTGGATTGTGTCCAATTGTCACACTTCTGGCAATCGCGAGACGTATGTCAACGATCTTCGCAAACACATCGATATTGATATCTTCGGAATGTGTGGTCAACACGACTGCCCGCGAGACGGCACTTGTCTTTCGGCGATCGTTAAGAAATACAAGTTTTACCTTTCATTCGAGAATTCGGTTCACTTTTTGCTTCACTTTTGATATCATTTTTTGTTAAATTATTGATAATTTTGTATTTTGTTTAACAGTTATGTAAAGACTATGTGACAGAAAAGTTATTTAATATGGTTCGATACGATATAATACCTGTGAGCTTGTTTATATACAGTTATATACATTGTCATTAATTATTGGATCAATTGATTTGATTGACAGGTAGTGTACGGTTCGGCCGACTATTCGCTAATTATGCCAAACAATTCGTTCATAAATGTAAAAGACTTTAACACTACTGAGGATTTGGCCAAATATCTTAAACTGGTCTCAAGTGATAAGCAATTGTATAACTCGTATATGTTGTGGAAAAAGAGTTATTGTCCACAAATGACTCATTCCAAGTATTTCTGCCATTTGTGCCACAAATTGAATGAAGACAGCGCTCGGAAGCCGACCAACCGCTGGAACCGTATGGATGTGAGCGAGTGGTTCATCGATGGCGCCGATTGCAAGCGACCCACGTTTAACTCAAACAGTAGTTTTCGTCCCATTGTTTTTTGCTCAATGATTGTCAGGTGTATAGCGTGTGTATTATATACAACCCTATTTCGGTTACAAAAGTTATATATTTAATTTAAATAATCACAAAATGATCATGAATTCCAAAAATTTATTAAATTAAAGAGATTATAATTGAAGTTAATTTAATTTACAAATAAAATTGTTTATGAAATTACAAATATTGGTTAAATAAAATGGCTGTAAAAAGTTAAACTTCAATTATTCCTCTGAAGTTTGCATTACTTATCGAAAAGAAAATATATATAAGTCATAGAATAGGGTTATATAGATTCCGTATTTTCGATGGGGTGGGGGTAAAAAAGGAGGTCCGGAAGGGGTGGCCCGGAGGGCGTTTTGTAGTGCTATTCCCGATCAGTTCATTCATGCCTTTAAAAAAACATAATTTTTATGATATCATGTAAAATTGTGAAACAAAGTCTAAACAGTTACACTGTATAACAGTATATGAATACATGTCTCCAATGAAAGCATATTTCAAACAATCAAATAACAAACAAATTAACAACAAATATATTTATATATTGAATGCCAACAAAATTTGTTACAATAAAAATATTTAATATTCAAACAAAACTTTGAGTCCAATTGTGGCAAACATTAGACACGAATTGGACAAAATTCAAATCAAATTCCTATGACTTTCAACACAATACAAGTTAAAGGATATAAAAAAAAGTTTCTAATACTCGACAGAGTATAGAGATGTCGGTAAAAACAGGGCTATTATAGCAACAATAACAACAGTAACACTGATATTGCGATAGCGTATTATTAATATTGACACACATTTGTACCATTAGTGAATTTGCCTGTGATTCGTTCAAATGCAATGTTTATATTGTCAGATAAACTACAATATAAGTGGTATTTAAATATCCATTCAGTTATTGTTTTAATGACATTTTGGATGCAATAATATAGCGCTTAAAATACATTCACTTTTCACTACACTTTCCGCTAATTATTTGCAATGAAAACAATTTTGTTTCATATGTTTTGCTATTCATTTAATTGAATGCCATTTCAATCACGCATTCAATGCATTAATTAATTAATTATAAATCGCTTTTTATAACTCTTTATATATTTAATAATGTGTTTGAGTTTTGTGTCACAAATGTATTGATGTTTTGAATCGGAGGACGAGAAGAGGTGCTGAGGAAGAAGCGCCTGAAGACGTGAAGACATGAATAAATTTAATAATAAACTTAAATATATTTTAATATTCGTTATAATAATTGTGTTTTTATTATACAAATGTTCACTGAATTCAACCGATTATCACATCTCAACGATACCGGCGATGACCGACCCGTTCAGAGGCGGACACATAGAGGACACACATATGGACACAAACATAACTGCACTCAACAACCAGTCGGGTGTCAGACAATACCGGATTCTATTGTGGACCAAATACTTCCAATCGGACGACTGGTTACATCTGGACCTCAAGTCAATGGGCTGTCAATTCTCTAATTGTCTTTTCAGTGAAGACCGATCTCTTGTGGTGTCGGCCGACGCCGTATTCTTTCACTGGCGGGACACCAGTCCATGGGATTTGCCCGCAAAGAGTCCGATGGCTGCGGCCAGAGGTCAGAAGTGGGTGCTCTACAACTGGGAACCGCCGCAATACGCGCCAGCCTTTCGGGTGCGCCCTTTGGCCGAACACATCGATTGGGTGATGAGTTATAGACGCGATTCAGACATTTACGTGCCGTACGGGTCGGTCACCAAATGTGATACAAAGTGGCACAACGAGGATCTCTTCGACAACAAGAGCGGTTCCGTGGCGTGGATTGTGTCCAACTGTCAGTCGCCCGGCAATCGCGAGACGTATGTCAACGATCTTCGCAAACACATCGATATCGATATCTACGGAATGTGTGGTCAACACGACTGCCCGCGAGACGGAACTTGTCTTTCGGCGATCGTTAAGAAATACAAGTTTTACCTTTCATTCGAGAATTCGGTTCACTTTTTGCTTCACTTTTGATGTCATTCTTTGTTAAATTATTGATAATTTTGTTTTTTTAACAGTTATGTAAAGACTATGTGACAGAAAAGTTGTTTAAAATCATTTCATATGATATAATTCCTGTGAGTTAATTGTGGTTTTGTTTATATATATATTGTATTAATTGTTTGTTCAATTGATTTGATTAACAGGTAGTGTACGGTTCGGCCGACTATTCGCTAATAATGCCAAACAATTCGTTCATAAATGTAAAAGACTTTAACACTACTGAGGATTTGGCCAAATATCTCAAACTGGTCTCAAGTGATAAGCAATTATACAACTCGTATATGTTGTGGAAGAAGAGTTATTGTCCACAATTGACTCATTTTAAGTATTTCTGCCATTTGTGCCACAAATTGAATGAAGACAGCGCTCGGAAGCCGACCAACCGGTGGAACCGTAAGGATGTGGTCGAGTGGTTCATCGATGGCGCCGAATGCCGTCGACCCACGTTTAACTCAAACAGTAGTCTTCGTCCCATTGTTTTTTGCTCAATGATTGTCAGGTGTATAGCGTGTGTATTATATACAGCCCTATTCCGGTTACGAAAGTTATATATTTAATTTAAATGACCAAATATCAATGAATTCCAAAAATCTATTAAATTAAAGAGATTATAATTGAAGTTAATTTAATTTACAAATAAAATTATTTACGAAAATATTAATGGTTGGTTAATTAAAATGGCTGTAAAAAGTGAAACTCCATTTATTCCTCTGAAGTTTGCATTACTTATCGAAAAGAAAATATTTATAATTATGTGTAAAATTGTTATGACATAAGTCATAGAATAGGGTAATATATAGTACACACCTGTATATTGATTGTCAATCTATTGATCTGTTGTTTTTCGCTTACTTTCTCTCTCTTTCTCGTTTTGCACTTAGATTTTCGCATTTGATTTGTTTTGTGAAAATAAATGCACTCTTTCTATGAATCTGTTACCACTGCTTGTGGTTGTGATTGTGTCACCGATTCTGTCAAACACCACACAGTATTCGCTCATCATTTTATTTGTTTTAATTTTAAATGTTATATATTTTTGTGTTAATTATGCTATTATTTTATAAGTACTTATACTGTAGAGAAGACCTGATATTTTTAAAGTTTAATTAATTTTTGAAAAAATTGTTAAATTTGTTATACATTTAACTATAAGATTAAAGTGCCCTTCAGTACAATCACTGCATTATTACTTACTGTATACCAATTCTCTATTCATAAGGCACCGGACAATATTGGGTGCGATACTTGTTTGGCGACGAGTGTCTGTGCGGGCAGAGCCAGGGAAACGCTCAACATCTGAAGACATGAATACAATTAAATATATTTTAATAGTTATTATATTAATTGTGTTTATATTATACACAATGAGTTTACTTAATTCAACCGATTATCACATCTTGACGTTACCAGCGATGACCCACCAAATCAAAGACGAACCCTTGACGACCAGACAAATGGACACAAACGATGGCAATGGACTCAACAACCAGTCGAATGTCAAACAATACCGGATCCTATTGTGGACCAAATACTTCCAATCGGACGACTGGTCACATCTGGACCTTAAGTCAATCGGTTGTCAATTTCATAATTGTCTTCTCAGTGAAGACCGATCTCTTGTGGTGTCGGCCGACGCCGTATTCTTTCACTGGCGGGACACCAGTCCACTGGGTTTGCCCGCAAAGAATGCGGCGGCTGTGACCAGTGGTCAGAAGTGGGTGCTCTTCAACTGGGAATCGCCCGAGAATTCGCCGGCCTATAACGTGCGCCATCTCTTCAATCACATCGATTGGTTTATTAATTATAG